GGTATGTTATTTTCAAATGTGTTAGAGCATTAACCTTTTAGCACCACTCACTGGAAATTTCACTCCTGTAATGCTACAATATGTACAGCAATCGGTGAAAAAAAACATTGCAAGATTCATATTCATTAGTTTCAAATAAATCTGAACACACTTTTAGTGCCACTCACTGGAAATTTCACTTTGAAAGTCATCATATCACTTAGATAAAATTTTGCCACATGCATGTTTTTACAATAAACCTGGGTTGAATTTCTTACATTTCAGTCGGTTCTTCACACAATGTATGGTGCAAGAGTCATGCAGGCTACTTTTATGGAGCTTTTTTTACTTCACTTGACTGAAGTGATGACACTGTCTAAATTATATTTTCATCTGTTAAACAAGCAGTGCCAGCACAACCGTTTATGAATCCTAGTTTGAACAAACAATGAATGGAACATGCTGAAACCTTAGTTGTTGTTTAAATCCTATAAATTCAATAAGCTGAAAGAATTTCAAAAAACATTTAAAATAGCCCCAAACGGTGCAATCCTTAGCTTCAGCATGTTTTAAGCTCGCCCTGGAAATAAGTTTGAGTGGTCCTGTGACAAAGAAATTCCAGAAGATTAATTTTTCTGTTCGCTTCCCTCAATCAAACTTACGGGAAAATATTTTTGAACTGCGACCCATTATTCATTAAACGGTTGTATCTGGTTTATTTCTGGAACTTTGACTACACAGAAACATGTTTTTAGAGTAATACATATTTTTCTTTCAGGTGGTCTTATTTCCAATTGCTATTTTTCATGTTCTGGTGTGTTGACCCATTATTCATTAAACGGTTGTATCTGGTTTATTTCTGGAACTTTGACTACACAGAAACATGTTTTTAGAGTAATACATATTTTTCTTTTATTCAGGTGGTCTTATTTCCAATTGCTATTTTTCATGTTCTGGTGTGTGATGTTGCTATCTCTTCCCATTTACTCTACAGGTACCATCACTTTACTGGTCTGATCTGGCGTCAGGCCCATTGTTCATCAGTAGACCAATTGTGCTCCTCCTCTGGGGTTCCTGTCTCTCTATTCAGCTTGTGCAAACAGAAAATGATCCATCTTTAGAAACACCAGTAGACCTCAGAGGCATCTGAGTCGGCCTTCACCTAGCTTTCCTGGTCACACGAGACTAAATAAAAGGCCCTTCTTTTAAGCTCTGGACAATATCAATGTGTCATCAATACATATGTTAAATTACATCTCAGAAATGCAAAGCCACCAGGACTCACCTCTTCTGTTACATTATGTGTTGGGTTGAATCCATCACACATCTTGAATACTTCTCAATTCTCCTTTTTGTGGCTCCACACGGCCTGGTTGGTCTTCCATTGTGTCTGTGCCCATCATTCTGGAGGGTGTAGTGGGTCAGCTCAGGTGTTGAAGGACAGGCGGCAGTTTACATGCACCCGACGTTTGCTTAACCCTTTGATTAGGGTGTAGAAATGTCAGCTATGGGGGGATTTAGCCATCCCGACAGCATCGTTTGACACCTCAGCAATCTGTCACGGCAGAGTGGAGGAGAACTAACAGTCTGCTCGCTCTGGACACAAAGGTGCTTCGCTTGCTCAGGGCCCATTCTGTCCAAAAATTGAGCTCCTTTATATTTTTTTCTTCTGCCATGTGTAAATATTGTGTCTATGGAGCGACGTGACTCAAATAGAAAATGCTAAATAGCTCTGTGAAAGCAAAAGAAAGACTCTGGATTCCAGAGCCAGTAATAAATGACTCAAAACTGCTTATTCAGCTAAGCTTGGGGCATCGAATTTATTTTGTTATTTGAACTAACATCATGAAAATTTTTGCAAAGGACGAGGTGTTTAAATAACATGGCAAATGAAATGATGTTACTTTAGCTACATCTTTTTTAATTTAGCACATACAGATGGTTCTGAGCTAATAAAAAATGTAAAGCTATGCTTTCCTCTGGAAAGCAATTTTAAACACTAAATTACAGTATTTGGAGTGTGATATAAAACATACCATACTGGAGCTTTCCAGACAGCTTATGGATTTACAATAAAAATACACTTTCCAGTAAAATGCTCCATGCTGTTGTTACTTGATGGAAGACGGTAGTAGTAGACTTGCATACAGAGGCAATCTACTTGAAGAGTGTTATCAGACTTCACTATCAAACAAACCAAAACACTTGTACCAACAGAATTTATGTACATTTGTAAAGTCTGTAACACTTTACAGTGAGGTCCCACTAGTTAACATTGGTTAAAGGGGTCATATGATGTGATTTAAATTTTTCAAGTTACAAGCTCTTGGTGCATAAAGCAGATCTGTAAAGTTGCAAAGACTAAAGTCTCAAATCCAAAGAGATATTCTTTATAAAAGTTAAGACTTGTCCACGCCCTCCTAAAACGCCTCATTTAAACATGGCCCCACGTCTACGTCACTGTGTGGGAAGATTTGCATAATGCCGCCCAAACGTTCACGCAAAGGAAGAAGGCGTACATTTTATTCTCGCTGTAGTATTGTTGTTCCCGCCGCCATGTTGTGGAGATGCTGTGTGTTTCATTGTGAAAGCGAAACTACTTTGTTTGGCCTTCCAAAGAGGACGATATCCACATTGTCATGGCTAGAGCTGATCCGTGCTGGTCGCTGAGGAAATACATCAACTTCGCGCTGTGGATCGGCGGATCCAGCCTGGGGTCATCACATGTGGTTGCCGCAAGCCCGCCAGCCGCTCCTTCGTCGAATCCGCCGGCTGCGCCATTCTCAAGCCCGCCGGCCGCTGCTCATTTGTCATGGCTAGAGCTGATCCTTGCTGGTCGCTGAGGAAATACATCAACTTCGCGCTGTGGATCGGCGGATCCAGCCTGGGGTCATCACATGTGGTTGCCGCAAGCCCGCCAGCCGCTCCTTCGTCGAATCCGCCGGCTGCGCCATTCTCAAGCCCGCCGGCCGCTGCTCACTCAAGCCCGTTGTGTGTGACGCTGTGTGTTTCGTTGTGAAAGCGAAACTACTTTGTTTTGCCTTCCAAAAGAGGACACAACTAGAAATCAGTGGTTAAGTTGTATTTACAACACTGTTCCAGAATAGTTCAAACCAAATATTCAGATGTGTGCAGCGCATTTTATGAAGGACTGTTTCCTGTTTTCCAGAGTAGCCTACAATGCGTCTGTGCTCAAAGGCTGTTTCTATAAAGTGGGGCAGTTCTAACTTTGCAAGGACAGTCTGGCGCTTCTGACTCATAGCCTGTAGTACGTTTTTTATATTTAAAGAATTTGCCACTGATGATTCAAACGTGAGTTTTAAAGTGTAGAGTAGCACTTGTTGTTTGTCGTTTCTCCGATCACAAATGCAGACATGGTTTTGTTTACGCGGCGCGATACCCAACGCAACGCGTAAAAAAACAGTATAAGTCATTATAATCAGTAATTATGTCCCCACTGGATGCAACAAATGCCTAGTTTGTAATGGGTTTTATTGGTTTTGTCTCGTTGTGCCGGGAGACGGCATCACAGCATGGTAAGCATTTCCGTCACACACTTGAGGGATTCGGCCAATCACAACACACTGGATAGCTGGCCAATCAGCATACACCTCGCTTTTCAGAACGATGAGCTTTGTAAAAATCAACGTGTTTCAGAAAGCCGGGGCATAGTGGAGAAACAATAATGTACAGTATGTGGAAAATAATGTGTTTTTTGAAGCTTAAACCGCATAAACACATTTCTTTAGACCAAATACACAAAATCATGTTCTTTTTAGCAACGTCATATGACCCCTTTAATACATTAACTTCATAATGCGCAATACATCTGTTAAAGTATTTATTAATCTTTGTTAATGTTAATTATTAAAAATGCAACTGTTCATTGTTCATGTTGGTTCAGGTCAAATAATATGAACAGATATAACTTTGGGTATAAATAATGTATTAGTAAATGTTGAAATTAACATTAACAAAGATAAATAAATGCTTCAGAAGTTTATCCTTGTTAGTTCATGTTAACTTACTGAACTAATCTTAATAAACAGAACTTTATTGTACATTGTTACCAAAAGTCCTAATGGCCTGTTCACACAATGGATTGAATGGAAAAGATGCAGATTTACATTTTAACTTCACTTGGCTTAACAACAGCTGCTTTTTCAGCACACAATGCTACAAAAAAAAAAAGCAGCAAAACATAGCATAACAAGTCAAAGACGGCCGTTTAGCGAACATTTATATGTGAAAACTGTTAAAAGTGGCATAACGAAACACAAAAACGCAGTCTGTGTGAACCGGACCTACGATTGCTACAAATAAACTTCATGTAGAAATAAAACTTAGAAGCTTACCTGACTCCATATATGAAAGCATTTCCTTTCAATAATACAGTCATTCAGAATTATTAAACACTTCTGCAAACCTATAGTCTTAGGTTCAAAGATAAATTTAAAATGAGTTCATCCTAGCTTGTGTGTAAGAGTAACACTGCTTTTGACAAGAGCTGCAACATACAAATGCAAAACAATCTTAATATGACAAATTCTCCTAAGACAATATGGTATGGATGAATTAAAACATCATTATATATATCATACTGCACCAGTACCATATGTGCCATTGGCTTTACTCCATCGGTTGTAACGATGATTAATATTAGATCAATATTTTTATGGTACTATCATTAATAGCTGTGATCTTTGGCATGCATTTCAACATTTTATGCCAAGTTATGATGTACTTAAAAGGTCACCAAAGTTCAAAGCCAATAATAATATGCAGTTTGCACAATCAATACAGTCAGGCTGGAGGACGGATGTGCTATTCTTTGCCGAAAATGTCCCTTGCATGTGTACCCTGCATGCTATGGTTTTATTCACTTTGACAGGAATAATGTACAAAATAATAATAATAATAATAATAATAATAATAATAATAATAATAATAATAAAAATAATATACTGGGATAAAAAAAAGAGTAAAAATGTGAAGTATCATAACCCAAATATAATTGTGCAACACGTTTGTATTAAACATTAATAGGCCCCTTTAAGATATTGAAGGACATTCAATCTGCTTTAAATTCACTTGGAGACACGAACGCCAGATGAGCACAGGGTGATTGCTAGGCAATGCAGCCCAGTCCACTACCATCAAAGGTGATGTGCCTGCCTCAGCAGTCCACAGGTCCTGAGTGACAAGTGAATGGCACTTGAATTCATACATCTGATATTTAAAAATAAAAGCCCAGCCAAGTCAGCTCCTGCCCTAAATTCCCAAAGAGCATGCCATCTCCCATGTAGTCCCATAAAGGTGATAGGACAGCCCCTTATTCACAGGATTCCTGTTTCCTGGAGAGGTGTTATCTCAAAAGAATGCTGCATTATCCAAAAGGCAAGCAGCTAACCACTTATACAGCGTTACCTGGTAATGTCATGGGCCAAAAAGTAACAATTTTCCAAAACATTTTGGGCTATTTGTGGAGAACTACGCGAAGTCGGCCGGTCGAATCATCATGACAGTGGATCGGAGAGAGTAGCTGGGGCCTTTGAAATAGTGCCACTTGATTCCATTGAATTTTCCAACATGTTGGCCTTGTCTGTAGTACACCCCGTTCAGGTTCGATGGGCCACAGGCATCGTACCACCATCCTAAAACACAAACATTTACAATTGGGAACAACTGTTTATACAGTTATATATAGTCAGTATTGCATTATCCTGAAAGAATGCTAACAAATGCAATACTACACAATATAAATCATATATAAATTGTAACAGTCATTTTAATTACTTTTCTTATAAAAAATATAACCACATCACATAAAAAGCCACTTCTAACTGCTCTGCGTTAAGTAGGTTTCTGAAACTAGGTGCCTAAACATTAGTGCTTCTATTTGTGTGATACTATTTCTGTGATTATTTTATATGATCAGCTATTTTTATTGCTGACAGTCTAGTAGTCTATTCGTCAGGCTATGCAGGCAACTTTGAAGCTGGATCCAACAGTATGCAGGTGCTATGTGGTCACTGTGGTATAGATGAGGAGTGAGTGGAACGGTGACCTTTAAAGTATTCAGGGAAAGAGGATATAAATACTTGAAGGTAACATAGAGAAAATAGGATGTGCCGATCACATTGTTAAACATAATTGTTTAATAATAACAATAACTGATTTTTATGTTTTATCTTCTGTGGATTTCGAAGGGTTATTTCTGTTAATGCCTGCCTTGACAGATGTGCTTTTAATAGCATGTCCCTCATACTGAGGGATGACCTGATATGATGGGCTTGAAATCTCCCAAAATGAAAATCATGTCATCATTTACTCATCTTTATGCCTTTTAAAAGCTGTATGACTTTCCATGGAACACAAAATTAGTTATAGTAAAATGTTCATGTTTTTTTTCCATACAATGAAACTGAATGATGACCACGGCTTCAAAGCAAAATTTTTAGTTCAACAACTTTTTTTCAGCAGATTTCAGTCTCCTCCTCACATAAAGCTTTCATATGGTTTCATAAGACTCAAAATATAGCCATAATAATATTATGATGCTTTTTGGCCATTTTTGGAGCTTGACAGACCTTGGTCCCCCTCCATTTTCACACTTTACACACAAAAAATAAACTTTTATGGGTTTGAAACAACATGAGGACAAATTAATTATATTTAAAGCTGGAATACTGCATTTTGCCTCCAGGTCTTATCATTTAGCTTTAAGATCTTATATATACAGTGGGTACGGAAAGTATTCAGACCCCCTTACATTTTTCACTCTTTGTTATATTGCAGCCATTTGCTAAAATCATTTAAGTTATTTTTTTTCCTCATTAATGTACACACAGCACCCCATATTGA